TCTATAGTTTTTCTTTCCCTGTTCTGACTCTTTCTGGTGAAAAGTAACAAGACTCTATATTCATAGAAGGAACTTGTTAAGATTTTTACTGTTTTTCAAACAGTATGTGGAGTATATGGAATAATTGTTCTTTTTTTTTTCTATTCATTCTTTCCCTGGGAGGGAAGAGCTTTATTTATAGAAATAATTGTTGTTAAATTTTTTAGTGGAATTTGTTTGTGAATCCATCTAGTTCTGGTCAGGTTTTTTTTTTTCCCTTAGGGAACTCATTTATGGCTTGTTCAATTTCTTTTTCTAAGATGAATTCTTTAAGTAAACTATTTCCTGTTATTTCCTTTGATGAATTCTTTAAGCAAACTATTTCCTGTTGTTAATTAGCAAATTCATATTTTGTAAATATTCTTCTATTTCATTTAGATTGTCAGTTTCATTGGTATATATTTGCCTGAAAGAATCCCCTATAAAGGTTTTATTTTTTTTTTCTTCATTGGTCGTGAAGTCACCTTTTTTATTTTTGATACAAGGAAACTGATTTTTCTTCTTTTTGAATTCCAATGAGCTAATTGACTACTGATTTAAAATAATTTTGGATTTACTTATTAATTCAACTTCTTAACTTTCAAATTTTTTAATCTTTTTTTTGTTTTTAGGACTTTTATTTTGGAGTTTAATTGGTTTTTGAAATTTTTATAATTTTTATCAATACTTCTTGTTTATTAATTCACCACAGTATCCCAATTATCCTCATATCTTCCACTCCCCAAAAGCAATCTCATATGACAAATAGAATTTTTTAGAGTGATTTTTTTAAATGTTCAATGTTTTTACATGTTCAATGTGTAACACCTGTGGACCTCTCACCTCTTTTAAGGGGTGGTTTGGTAGTATGCTCCATAGGATTTCATACAAGTGTCATTTGATCTTTATACTTTTGTTACATTTACCTTTGAGTTTTTGATGTCACAATTCCTTGCATTTACATTGTTGTCATGGGTATGTATATTGTTTATTGGGCTCTACTCACTTTACTTTACATCAGTTCATATAGACAAGGCTACAATTATATTTACGTAAGTCTAGACTATGTTTTTATAGTTAGACTTCAATATTTTTTGCCGTTTTAGAAAGATTTTGAATGACTTTTGTTTTTCTTCTTTCCTCCTGGTTTTTGTCATTATAGTATAGCAATGATACTGATCCTTGTGGATTTATTTTGTAAGCTATTATTATAATGTAGGCAGTGTCTCAATGAGTTTCCTGGCTGATGCTCTGGGACTGTCTAAGCAAGCTACAATGCAGCCTGAAAATGGGAATAATTTCATGTTGTCTTTGCCTATGTTCAAACTGCAATTTTGTTCAACTCTTCTTATGTCTATTGATAAAATTTTTAAAATTAAACAAATTAATAATAAGCATCATTGCTTTGGTCATCTAATTTTAGGAAAGTTTAGTATTTTTTCTGCTACAAATAATGTTTGCTTCTGGCTTCAAATATTTGGATATCAAAATGTGAAAAAAAATGATCTTTCAATGCATATCTCCTTTAGGTTTCTTGTTTTATGGAAGAAATGAGTGTTGCACATAGTCAAGGGCTTTTTTCTTTATCTATTGGTATAATCCTGGGATTCTGTTTTTTTAATAAAATTAATTGTTTTCTTAATTGTAAATTTCTTTTTTATATTTATTTATTTTTTTTTACTTTTCAACTTTCATTTTTTATGATATTGAATTCCAAATTTTTTCTCCCTCCTACTCTCCCCAAGGTGGCAAGCCATCTGATACAAGTTATACATGTGCAATCATGTGAAACATATTTCTGCATTAGTCATGTTGTAAAAGAAGAAACCAAACAAAAGGAAAAACCTACAAAAAATAAAGTGAAAATAGTATGCTTTGATTTGCATTTAGACTCCATAGTTCTTTTTCTGGATGTGGATAGCATTTTCCATCATGAGTCTTTTTGAATTGTCTTGGATTGTTGTATTGGTGAGAAGAAATAGGTCAATCATAGTTGATCGTTGCACAGTGTTACTGTTACTGTCTACAATGTTTTCCTGGTTCTGTTCACTTCACTCAGCATCCGTTCATATAAGTCTTTCCAGGTTTTTCTCAAATCTGTGTGCCCATCATTTCTTACAGCACAATAATATTCCATTACGTCCATATTGCAAACCTTGTTCAGCCATTACCAAGCTGATGGTCATTCCTTAATTTATAATTCTTTGGCACCAATTGTTAGTTTCTTAATTGCTAATTGTAATTTTAAGGCTGCATCTCTAGCTTTACTCCATCTCCTGACTTTCCTTTCTCTCATCTCTGAAATTCCCATCTTTGAATAACTGCTTATGCTCACCAATGCTGAGATGTTTTGATTAATTGATTGAGAACCAAAAAAAAATAGTGTACTATCTCTCTACCTTGTAAGTGTTGAAACCACTGTACCACCATGATTAAGGCGTGCATCTTATTTTTATGTATTTTGGTTGTGTGTCTAGCACTAGTGTTGCATTTGTATTTATCAATCAGTAACAATTTTTGAAAGCCAACTAAAAATATGATATTAAGCTAGAGATAGAGGGGGATTTAAATGAAGAATAATATATGGTCTTTTCTATTGAGGAGCTTATGATCACTATATGGAAATAAGACATTAATATATAAAAAAAATTACTAAAATCAAAAAGCAATGAAGGCCAAATGGATGGAAGATCACATGAGTGCTATGGAAGCCCAAGACCACTAAGGTTTCAGTGAACAAGGAAGGACTGAAGGTAAACTCAGAAAAATGTCATCATTTGGATACATAAAAAAAAATGATAGATGGTCATTCTCAGTTAGAAGGACAACTAGTATGTGGTCGACATAGAAACAAGCAAGGGAATCTCAAGGAATTGTGTATATAGTTAGCTTTTTAAAATTTGGTTTTCCCTGGAGTTGGAGAATATTTTATTCTGATCATTATCACTGCTCATATTTATTTAACACTTTAAAGCTTAAAAGTTTCTTTTCTTATAATAACCTTAAGAGTTAGGATAAAATAAGTATTACCTCTTTTTTATAGAAGATAAAATTGAGACAAGATGGCTAAATTACTTGTCAATGGTCACAAACCATAAGGGGTCATATATTTGATATCAGTGTTTATTTCACCCCTTTTTGTTATTGTTGAGCTCTTATGGCTGTGCCCAACTCTTCATGGCCTTATTTGTGGTTTTCTTGGTGGGGATACCCTAACAGTTTGCCATTTCCAGCTCAGCCCATTTTACAGATAAAGAACTAAGGCAAACAGCTAGGAAGTGTCTGAGGCTAGGTTTGAACTCATGGGGTTGTCTTCCTGATTCCTAGCCATGTGCTCTATCCCCTGTACCACCTAGCTGCTCAATATGATTTCACCTTTACAATACTTTAACATTTACTTCAGAAAAATATGTTTGTGGTTATTTGTAGTGATAGCTGTTTACATGAGATTCCAGGAGTTTGTATTTAACGCTGTAAACAATGAAAAAAAATGGAAAATTTGCAAGTATCATTTTAGGAAGAACACTCTGGAATGGATTCAGAAAATGGACTCATGCAGGGGAAATTCAAGGGAGGGCCACCAGTTACAAACCTACTCCAGTATTACAGCAATGTTGAGATGAGACAATGTAGGTTTAAACTAGATCAGTCAAATAGAACAACAATGACCAAATAAAACAAGAAATATTACAAAAGAAAAACTGATTACTAATTGGAGATGATGAAAAATGAATCAAACGTCTTAGAATGTTCTAGTTGGAAGAATATCTAGTCTTTCCACCAGCACCATTTTATAGCCCATCATTGACTTTTCTTCTTTTTATTTATTTATTTGTTTATTTAATTATTTATTTGTTTTTAGTGAGGCAATTGGGGTTAAGTGACTTGCCCAGGGTCACACAGCTAGTGAGTGTTAAGTGTCTGAGGCCAGATTTGAACTCAGGTCCTCCTGACTCCAGGGCTGGTTCTCTATTCACTGCGCCATTGTAGCTGCCCACATCATTGACTTTTCTTTCAAACATTCAAGAGCTTTGCATAAATAGGCAAAGGACTTAAATTGATTGAGGGGGCGGGGGTGGATAAGATTTAAAATAACAGAATTCCATTGAACATGCCTTGGACAGAAGGACTGTGTAAGTAGGAACAAACTTTCTAGTGGCCCCAAATGTTTTCCTCTTTTGATTGTACCTCAACCAAATGGTATTTTTGGATGAAATAGAGGCCAACCAGATATGTTTATAAGCTGAGGTATAAATGCTTTTCTACTACTACTTTACACCTGAAAGAAAATCTATTCCGTATTCAATAAATTGTTAGCATAAATATTTAGATGGAAACCAAAGGTCTTTTTTACCATTTGCATAGAGAATAAGAAAGGAGACAAATTCTGATGTTCTTGGTGGAAACCCTGAATGTGGACAGAACCAAAGAGTGTGACTTGTAAGAAATCCCTGGAGCAGCTAGGTGGTGCAAAAGATTGAGCTCCCACATTGGAGTCAGTAGGACCTGAGTTCAAATCAGGCCTCAGACACTTGAAACTTACTAGCTGTGTGACCCTGGGCAAGTCACTTAACCTGAATTGCCTCATAAAAAAAGCAAGAAATCCCTAACACTGAACATGATTTAAGTAAGACCAAGATTTTTGTTAGTGTTTACACTCAAATGTTTGTGGAAGAAATGGAAAAGAAAAAGAACTGATGGAATGATTTGTCCCCTTGCCAGAGCTATCAATGTTTAATTGGATTTCTTTGTGAAGATTCTGATCAGTTAACTGGCAAAAAAAAAAATTGAGATAATCAAAATAACACATTGCCCATTCAATTAAATGACAATATGACTTTAAGGAATACTAGACATCAAACAAGAGGTTTCCAGAAACATCTTTTGTGGTTTGTAGCAGTATAGTTGTCCAATGGAGAATATTAAAGACAGGATATTTTATTTTTCTCCAGTTATGTGTAAAGAACATTACTAACATTCATTTAAAAAATTTTTAAGTTCCAAATTTTTTCTCTCTCTTTTCCTGACCAACCCATCCCAAACACAGGAAACAATTTAGAATAGGTTATACATGTTTGTCATGTTGTGAAAGAAGACACAGTCCCAAAGGAAATCAATGAAAAAAAAACCCAGAAAGTAAAAAATATTTTGCTTAGACTTATGCAAAATATTAAAAATATGTGATATGCTCTGCAGAATATTACTACATTCAGTATAATTGTAATTGTCAAGGATAATTGTTTATAAAAAATAATAAACAGACACTCAATTCATTATTTTCTCTATGTTCTTCCACCGAATCTCTATAGTCTAGTAATACTGAGTTGTACTAATCCACTGGGGATCATTTCTTTTGGAACATGACCAATTGGATCCTTGTACAGATGGTGAAAGGATTGTCTGACTGTTCAGCTTCAGAAGAACCTGAAACAATTAAGAAGAACAATTAGAATTAGACAAATATACAGTACCAAACAAAAGAGATAAAGAGAAGTAGTTACAAATGTTAATGGTATCTTATAGAAAAGAAGATTATACAAATGAAGACAAATTAGCTAGTATGTCATGCAAAGGAATGTTAGGTTGATATGGTTGTAATAAACAACCAGTGTAGGTTAGATGTCAGAGATTGTCACAAAATATTACCAATATGCATTAACTATATACTCAAGTTTTATTAATACTAGTCTGTTGTAAGGTAGAATCAAGAATCTTGCTGATATTAAAAGATTTTTTTCATTCTCTTGACCTTTAATGCTGCATATGCTTTCATTAATGCTATCATAAAACAAAGGAATTAAAGGGTCTGCTATACTTTGGTCTTCAAAAACAATATTGTTTGCAACCAAAAATTTATGTTATTATTATAGTTAAAACAAATTAATTCTATACCCAACAACATTTTAATTGTTTCTCTCTTGGCCTTCTGTATATTTCTAACTTAATAATGGTAAGTTAAATTTATTAGCCTGCTCATAATAAATAGACGTACTGTGTTGAATTAAATTTGACCATGTGGCATAGGATATGTCTCTACTTTGATAATAAATCATCTTGATTTTTAAAAAAAGCCATACAAAGTATTGAACAAAGGATGTGACTCCTCACCTGTGTCTCTTTAGAAGTTCTGAAGAAAAATTCCTGCAGGAGTTGACAATTTGCAGCTTTCATACTAATAAGTGCAAATCTCATCCCAATGAAATTCTGGGGAGCAGTGCCAAAGGGCTGGTATGCATAGGGGTTGATGCTCTCCTTGTTTTCCTTGCTAAATCTGGTTTTTCAAAATGGCAAGAGAAAAGAGGTAGGTGAAAAAAAGAAGACACAACACTTGTTAGAACAATGAATCTGACTTTGGAAGAGATGCATCAATCAATCAATCAATCAATCAACCAATCAATATTTATTTATTTAGTGCCTGCTATGTGCCAGACACAGCACTAAATACTGGGGTTCCATAAGGAACAAAAGACATTCTTTGTCCTCAGGGAGCTTACAATATAACCAGAAAGTCAATATGCAAAATATGTGTGTGTGTTTGTATGTACACAACAAATAGGAAATAATTAACAGAGGGAAGGCACTAGAATTAAGAGGGGTTGAGGAAGACTTCCTGTAGAGGGTCAGATTTGAATTGGGACTTAATAGAAGACAGGGAGGTCAGTAGTCACAGCAGTGGAGGGTGAACATTCCAAACATCGGGAATAGCCAGAGAAAAGGCTTGGAGTTGCGATGGAGTGTCTTGTTTGTGGAACATCCAGGCCAGTGAAACTGGATCAAACTATAGGTTACAAGGAGTAAGATTGAAAAAGACTAGAAAGGTATTAGAGGGCTGGGGTAAGAAGGTATATGAATGCTAAATAGAGTATTTTGTATTTGCTTCTGGAAGCACTAGCGAGTCACTTGAGTTTACTGAAGAAGGGGGTTACATGATCACACTTGGGCTTTATGGACCTCATTTTTATGGCTAAATGGAGAATGAATTGACGTGGAAAACAACTTGAGTTAGGTAGACCCATTAGCCCGCTATCATAATAATCTAGGTGTAAGATGATTGGGCCCTACACTAGAGTGGGAGCAGCATCAGAAAAGAGCATTTTTGAAAAATATTGTAAAGGTGAAATTAGCAGGCCTTAGCAAGAATTTGAATGAGCGGGTGAGTAGTTAAGAATAATTCCAAGGCTGTGAATCTGAGAGACTGGGAATATGATATTACCAGAAATATCAAAAGTGGGGAGAAGATTTATGGGGATGGGGAATAATAATGAATTGTTTTGATCATATTGAAGTTATGATGTCTATTGGAAATCCAATTCAAAATATCTGAAAGGCAGTTGGAGATAAACGGAGAGTTTGGAGCAGGATAGATAGATTTCAAAATTATTAGCATACTTGCTGATTCCAGCCCAACATGAGGTAAGCTGCCAGAACCCTAGAGCCTCTAATTGCCAACATAAGAGGCCCCAGCACACAAAGCCAGTGACCAAGACCTAGGCTCCCAACAGAAGAAGCTTGGGTCAGTGCCCTCTGTTCCCTAGCAGGGGAGCTCAATCTCTTTGAAGGCCAGGCAATAAAGAAACCATGAGTAAAGAGAAGCATAGCATAGATTCGCATTATGGGAAGAGTGAAGATCAAGACAGAAATTCTGAAGATGACAACATTGTCAACAAACCCACATCTGCAATATCAAAAGGGAATATGAACTGGTCTGAAGCCTTCTTAGAAGAGCTCAAGAAAGATTTTAAAAGTCTAATGAGAGAGGTAGAAGAGTCCTTTAAAAATACAATTGGCCCTTGGAAAAAAAGTACACTGAAGAAAACAAATCCCTTAAAAATACAATTGGCCAATTGAAGAAGGAAGTACAAAAACTAACAGAAGAAAACAGTCTGTTAAAAACTAGAATTGGACAAATGGAAACTTATGACTCTATGACAGAACAAGAATCAGTTAAACAAAAACAAAAAAAAGGAAAAAAATCAATGAAAACGTAAAATACCTCATTGGTACAACAATGACCTGGAAAATGATCCAGGAGAGACAATTTAAAATCATTCTACCTGAAAATCATGATGAAAAAAAAGAGCCTGGGCAGTATCTTCCAGGAAATCATGAAGGAAAAGTCCCGGAAGTCCTAGAACCAGAAGGTAAAATAACCACAGCAAGAATCCACCGCTCACCACTTGAAAGAGATCCCAAATTTGACAACACCAAGGAATATAATAGCAAAATTCCAAAATTACCAGATGAAAGAGAAGGTGCTGCAAGCAGCCAGAAAGAAACAATTTAAATATCATGGAACCACAGTCAGGATTACACAGGACCTTGCAGCTTCTACATTAAAAGACCACAGGGTGAACATGATATTCCATAAGGCAAAGGAGCTTGGATTGCAGCCAAGGATCAACTACCCTGCAAAAATGAGCATGATTTTTCAAGGGAGGAGATGGATATTCACCAAAATAGGGGACTTCCAAACCTTCCTGATAAAAAGACCAGAGCTCAAAAAAAATTGATCTTCAAGTACAAGATTCAAGAAAGACATAAAAAGATAAATGGGACAGAAAGATACAAAATGTGGTTAATAAGGGTGGACTGTTTACATCCCTACAAGGGAATATGACACTTGCAACTCTTGAGAACTGTATTGTTATTACACCATGTTAGAGGAGTATACATAAAGAGGGTGGATATTAGTTGACTTTGATGTAATGATATTTAAAAAATCTAATCAAAGGGGTTAAATGGATCCAAGTAAGTGGATCAGTCTGATCTTAGAAAATGTACTGAGAAAGGAGGAGGCAGACAAGGGTAAATTACATTACAGGAAAAGACAGAAAATCCTATTACAGCAGAGGGAAAGAAGGGAGGGGGATGAGCATTGTTTGAACCTTACTCTCATCAGATTTGGCTCAAGAAGGGAATACATAATCAGTTAGGTATAGAAATCTAACTTGCCCTATAGGCAGCAAGAGGGAAAAGGGGAAAGAAAAGGGAGGGGGAAGAGAAGGGAGGGAAGAAGCAGTAAGGGCAAAGGGGAAGAAAAGGGAAAGGGATAATAGAAGGGAGGAGAGACTGAAGGAGGCGGTGGTCAAAAGCAAAACACTAGTTGGGGGGAAGGAGAAAGGAGAAGAAAAGCATAAACAGGGGGGGAAGGATGGAGAAAAAGACACAGATTGGAATCATAACCACGAAAGTTGAATCGCTATCTTTTTTTTTCTCTTCTGTTGAGTTTTGTTCCCTCTTTCTGATGGGTCCTCCTATTGGTATTAATTTTTACTTACAACTTCACTAATGTGAAAATGTTTAATAGGAATGTAAATGCATAGCATATATCAGATTGTGCACCATCTTGGGAAGGGTGGTGGGGAGGAAAGGGGAGAAAAATTTTAAACTCAAAAGCATATGGAAGTGATTGTTGATAAATCAAAAAAATTAATAAAATATAAAAATAAAAAAAAGAAAATTATTGGCATAAAGATGGTAATTGAATCCATGGGAATTGATGAGCTCACCAAGTGAAGTAGCTTAGCAAGAGAACAGAAGAGGGTTCAGGTCAGAACCCTGAGGGACCCCTAGGAATTCCTGCCCTGTTCTTTCCTGTCCTGTTTTCTCCTCTCCTCTCCTCACATGGGGTATCATGCCTTTACCTGACAGTATTCTGCTCAAAGGAAGGTAAGTTTTGATGGATAACCTAGTTATCTTGGGGTTTACTAGACAGTTTTCTTTTTCTTTCTTTCTTTTTCTTTTTCTTTCTTTCTTTTTCAGTTTTTAAAAATTGTATTATTATTGCATGATATCCAGGAATAAGTAGAAATATGCTTGGGACAAACTTCCTCATTAATCAAGAAAATTAAGGGGGGAGAAATGAAAATATGCCATTGAAGTTTTCAAACCAAAATTGTTGAATCGACCTGTTGGTATTTCTCAGGAATTTCTTGGCCTACCTGCACTTATTCTTCTGGTTTCTTTCTTTCTTTAATTCATACTGTTGAAGTTTAGGAGTTTAGGGGTGCTGGGACCCCAAAATCACAACACATGGGTCCTGCTCAAAAGAATTCGACCCAAGCCTTTTTTTTTCAGTCAATGACAAGGTTTATTAGAACAACTGTCATATTGGGCAGACTCCTAAGGAGTCTGAACATTAGTGAGTTATTGGCTAGATTCTGAGCAGTGGCTAGATTTTAAGAATCTAAGCCACATTTCTTTCTTAAAGACACTGCCTTAATCTCAATTCATTCTGGCTCTCATTGATTGGACAACAATAGGTCCCTGCCTAAGAACCACTCAAAAGTTATTTTTGGGTCCTCCTGACTTAGAATTAATGTAAATAGCAATTGTTTCTTTTTTGCCAGCAAACCAGAGGGTCTTCCCCTCCCAGTTTGAATTTTTTTTCAATTAGAAGGGCCATCCCTTGAATCAAGTCTTAAATAGGCCTATTCAATGAATAGGCATTGTCTCACTCAAAATGAGAACTTAGACCTTAGCTTAAAAATTCCAAGGTCTCCCATTGCATTTTGGGCTATCTCCAGTTATCTTGATCTATATCTGACAACTGGACCCAGATGGCTGTGGAGCACAAAGTGAGGCTAGTGACTTTGCACAGCCCTTCCTCACTCAAATCCAATTCATTTGCAAGTCATGTCATCATCTTCCTGATGTCATGGTCATCTTTGAGGATGAAGGAGAAACCACAACCACACAAGGGTATTGGGTACCAATTGGGGAAAAGCTATAAAATACAGGAGTAAGTGAAACGCCATAAAAACTTGAACTCTATGAAAGGCAGAAGCCCAGGCATGGTGACTTGTTAGAAATCATACCTTATATACCAAATCATAATTTAAACGCTGAGTCATAACTTAAGATACTATGACCTATGAAAGCAAAAACAACAATATTGTGACCCATATGTGACCAGTACATGATCAATACACAAACTTGTGTTTAGGCATAACATAGGCCTAATACCCAAGCTTACTAAGCAGAAAACTAAAAACATCCACCAATCAGTAGTAATGTACTCTCTAGTTCCTCTTCCCTTTGTCTGTTTTCTATAATTACCATGGGGATTTTTGGGTTCTTTAGCAGGGGACCAACTAAACTGTCTGGCCACTGCCCCAGACTGAAAATTGACCCTGTTTGAAAAATGATCCATCATTCATAATGACTCTTTAAACTATAATCAATCTGGAGATACTTTTGTATCAAAAGAATACCTCTGTTTATGAAGGAAGTACAGGTTCCCCAGCCAGGGGAATTACGGATGTTACAGAG